CGCGGCAAACTGAGCGAGGAGGAGGAAGCCTCACTCCTCAATGTGGGAGAGGTTGACGGGCAATTCATGACCGTCAACGAGGTGGCAGCCCAGTGCTTCGTCTTCTTCGCAGCTGGATTCGAGACTTCGGCTACCACGATGACTTTCGCGCTGCTAGAGCTAGCGCTGAATCAGGATATACAGGACGAGCTGAGACAGGAGATTGCGATGGTTTTGGAGAAACATGGAGGGGAGCTCACGTACGATGCTATAATGCAGATGAGTTATTTGGATAAAGTGGTGCATGGTGAGTATACCTTGTTATGGAAGATACAATTTCGACTCTCATTGATGATTTTAATTATAGTATATTCAGTGGTACATCCTATAGATCACTCAATTATAAGATGTGATTCTTCATTGAAACAGGCACTAAATAGTTGAGAGAGATGATGAATATAGACCACATAATAACAAACATTTGAACTACAATTACAATGAGAAGATGGCATGACAACTCTCATATTCAATATTCATATATCGATAGAGCATACAGTTTGTTGAAATTTTTTTGAGTTCCCTGACCAGAACCAATATTTCATTGTTAACATCATGTCTTTTTGAGTTTTATAATACCGTTCACATGTATGGGTTCCAGAGCCCAAACATACCTACGCTGAAGCTCTTGAATTCCATCCAGAGAAGAGCCATTCGCCTGGTGGGTCATGCCAAACTCAATAACTCTTTGACCTCATTATAGAATTCCATAGAAAAGTCGGCGACCTTTCACTCTTCTATAGATAATTCCACTGGAAATGTTTCTCAGAAAGAACTGCTATAACTCCATCATTAGCAATACCAGTTTAGACAGGCCCAGTCAGCACATCCTTCCGTCGTTAACCTTCAAATATGTCGAACAACACTCTACCAAAACTCGTTCGTCTATAGAACTGTGAAGCTTTGGAACTCTTCGCCAATGAAAGTATTCCGAAGATCTTGTAAGATCCGGAAGTTCAGAAGATTCCCTATGATACGCACGATGTTACACAAACATTATAGGAATTTATCAAGTATGGGGCACGGTATCCGAGCGGTCGAGAGCGCTCAACTTGCTCACCTCAGCACCCTAGAAGTGGTTCGAATTCCACGATTAGCTATTGGTTCCGCTCTTCCTAACTCCGACTCCTGGCGAGTTGGTTTCAACTTCGAAGTAGCGATATACAAATTTTCAACAGTTTCTTCAAAAAGTTCAATTGAGAGATTTTCCTTCCAGAAACCTTACGTAAACACCCTCCCATTCCCGTTATGCCAAGGGTTTGCAATACAGATTTCAAAATTCCTGGCACCGAAGTGGTCATCGAGAAAGGAACAACAATTCAGCTTCCCTTCCGGGCCATCCACATGGATCCAGATTATTATCCAGATCCAGAGAAATTCGATCCAGAAAGATTCAACGAGGAAAACAAGGCCAAACGACATCCGTTCGCTTTTCTTCCATTTGGAGAAGGGCCAAGAATATGTATAGGTGAGATAACTCCACTATGTTCCACATAATTGAGTATTCTAACAAATATTTCCAATTCGTTTGATGTTATGTTTAAATAAATACAAAAAGCTCAAAGTCATCTCTAGACAATGTTCATAGAATGAACAAGAAAAGTAGATTTCGGGAGAAAACAAACTACTCTCCTGGCTAATGCCACGCAGAACTTCGAATTATATCCTGCCGAAATCTACAGGGTGGTGCAGAATTCAGAATCTTGATCACCCGGTATATGTCCCAATTAAATATCAGTAGATAGTTAATCAAAAGTTGAGATAGGAACATGTAAGTCGTTTTGACCAATGATGAATAGTTTCGACACAAAAAAATCCTAAAGTTGAAAAATGTCGATTTTTCACACCCTATATCTCTGTAATCATTTCTGCTAGACCCCAAGTGTGATACATCGATGAAATTAGCTCTTCAGGGAGAATCTAAAAATGCAATGAAATACAGAGTGTTCCATTTGAAAAATCAAAGTTGCTACTGCTTTCTAATAGAAGCGGCAACACCGCATTGTCGAAAATATTTTAGTTGGCTAGAGAATGTCCGAATATGCCCTCTCTTGAATTTTCAAAATGATCCGTTGTCTGGTTTACCAGAAACGTCTAATGTGCCATCCACCGTGAATCAGCCTGTATTTATTAAATTTAAGAAAAAACTTGATTTACAGGATCACGATTTGGATTGTTGCAAACGAAAGTTGGGTTATGTGCCATTTTGAGGAAGTTCAAAGTAACGCTTGATGAGAAGACAAAAACTCCAATCAAATACTCTGCCCACCCCGTTTCAACAGTAGAAGGAGGAGTATGGATTAGAGTTTCTCAACCCTGATAAATTATTCTTATTGACCTATGACTGAAAGAAAATATCCAAGAATTGGTTTTGTATATATTATCATCTATTTAATATAATTACTTTTATGGATGTTCTTTATTTTCCTCCAGGATCAACAATTCAAAAAACCCCTCGTAAGTACCTACCTACCTACCTACCTTCTTTTTAAAAAATTGGCATTTTTTATAAAAGAGGCTACACATATTTTTTTTCAAGAATTGTCTGTTCTTATGAAAATAACTGCAAAGCATTGAGTTTGTGATAAAAATTATTCTCGAGGCACTGAAATCGACCTTTCTATATCAAGTTCGAAATAACTTGTTCTTCTTGACTAGTGCGGTAAAGTGAAAGAAATTCAATTTCAAATTTTATTTTTACTCAAAAAAAGAAGTGAGACCAATTTATCATGAATATATATAGCAGGTACTAAAGTTTCGATTGCTGCATTCGCCGCAATTTCTATATCGGAATCTGAACTTTCCTGATCCGAATTCATGCCAATGAATTTTTTTTTTTTCGAATTGAAATTAACACGTCAAAGTTGACAGTTCGCCGAATGAGTGACAACCGAGAACACAATAGATTCACGACAACCAGACGCTTGATTGTTACATATTCCCGATGAATCGTCAGTTCACGGAATATTGAATATTTTTGATTGAATAATTAGCTTTTTGGTAGTAGGTGAAATATTGTACTATATTCGAATCGTAAACTCATATTACGATTATCGTAATATGAGTCTTTCCGATACTCGTATCATAAATATCTATTTCGAGCATTTACGATAAAATATATTAAGAAGAATACCATTTTTTAAAATAAAATAACCGGAGGGGTCTAACTTTTCCGGAGCGAGGTTTCTATTCAAATCAATATTCGATAAATTTATTTTTCATATATGCAGAATGTAACGAACTAGTGAACAAAACAAAAGCAACAAGAATGAGAATTAAACCTATAACTGCATGCGGCTCAGAGATTAATGAAGTTGATGTGTTGGGATTTAGAAGAAAACATGAAATACATCCTTATTCGTTGAAAACACTCCACTTCCTCATAGCAAGAGATAATATTCGAAGGTTTGAATATTGTGAAATGATAAGTTTCGTTCACTATTTCGTTATTGTTGAGAAAAAGTGACTATTGTTCTAAATTTGAAAATAATAGGGGTATTCCGGATCTCCTATATAGGAAATAGAACACCAACAATAGAATATTCACAGTTCCTGGTAATACCTACACCAAGGGTGAGCCCTATTACCAGCAGGGATTAATTCGGGTACCATAAATTATGCAACCCCCCCTCCCCCCGTATAATATATGAGATGTTAGGATCGCGTGCCCGTTGTAAATTTAATTAGCCGCGTTTTCTATCAGAATCTGATAATTTTCGATAATGTTGGTCCTGCAGGGCCGAAAGTCAACGTAACAACGTATGATAACCCGAAAATTTATAGGCCACGCATGTTTTGGCCTCATCAGAAAGGAATCCACATCCGTAAATTGAAACGTTCATACAGCAACACTGGTGACATAATAAAACGTTCATTATCAACCTATCTCGAAACAACAACAATATATCGAATGATGCCTTGTTCTAATATGGTGTATCCCTAAAGATAAAAACTGTTTTTTAAATGCGGTTGATATTTTACCATTTTGGCGCTCATAGCTTTATGTGTGATGTTGACATTGAAATTTTACATATCTGTGACAAAGGAAAAAAACTTAACCCCCTCGAAACCTTGGGAATCAATTGGGCTGTCAAAAACTCTAATCTCAACAGCCTCAATGAACAAACCCAATTCGATAGTCTTAAATTATTCAACTCCTTATTATTTTAACTATAATTCTGTCCTGTGTTCTATGTCACTTCAATGGGTGGATCTTGCCTTCTACGTCCAAAATATACCAACACTGTTTTTTGTGGTTTAATAGCGAGTTGATATTTCTCGACCAACTATGTACATACATACATTACAGAATACTCTTTCTGTGGAATTAATGAGTGATTTTCGATTGTCACCAGAGATAATGATGTTAGCATCATCTGCGTAACAAATAATCTTAATATTCGGAATATTGTCGACACAATATATGAGGTCATTCACAAATATGTTGAAAAGTAGAGGACCCAGAACTGATCCCTGTGGAACACCCTGTGTGATGCTACAAGCAGGACTACGAATATCATTGAGTGAAACAACCTGATTTCTATTGACCAGGTAGGATTGAAAACATTTCAGAGGAATACTTCTTATTCCATATCTTTCAAGTTTAGCCAGTATAGGATGCTATGGTCAACTACATCGAAAGCTCTCGTCTATAAAAAGTCCACTTACGTGGTCACCTATTTCCAGCCTAGAGACGAGTTCATATTGAACAGTATTCAAAGCTGTATCAGTACTCATATTAGTACGAAACCCATGTTGACTTGATGATAATAGTTTATATTGATTCATGCATGAATGAGTATCTGAAATAAAGAAATTATGACAATAATGAAGCAGCATCATGAAAGATAAACGGTGAGATGAATCAGATAAATAAATGATTGTAAATCACGTACACTGATAATAATATTTGCATATTATATAAAGCGAAAGTTATCAACCAAACGAAATATTTCAGTGCCACGATGGATATCTTAACGATCGCTTACATTGTGATCGTACTGCTGACCAGTGTTTACGCCTATTCCAAATGGACCTACACCTATTGGAAGAGAAGAGGATTGGAATACTTGGAACCTGAATTCTTCTACGGAAGCAACAAAGACCTGATCCAGAGGAAGCTGGGAATAGGCGATCATTTCGCCAACGTCTACAACAGCTTCAAATCGAGAGGGCTGAAATGCGGTGGGCTGTTCATGTTTTTCAAACCGGTTTTCATGCCGGTAGACTTGGACCTGGTGAAAACGATCATGCAGAAAAATTTCGATAATTTCCGCAACCACGCACTGTTTGTCAACGAGAAAGTTGATCCTTTGGCAGGGCATCTTTTCAATCTGGAAGACGAAAAATGGAGGAAGATCCGGTCCAAACTCACCCCTACGTTCACCTCAGGTATATTCGATATGAATTGATCGGGTTAAAATTGAAATGAATGGGAAACATATATGTAGGCAAAACGACTATTTAGTGAGAAAAAAATGGAGTAGGAAATAGTGATATTATATTGCTAAGGAGGAAGATATTGGTATTAACACTGAATTTAACACGAGAGTGAAATGTCACCTAGAATTTTAGATTGAGTTGATTGAATAAGAACATTGAAACACTTCAATTGGTCACACATCTCTATATTCACGATAAACTTCCAGGAATTTCATAACAAAACATCATGTAAATATTGGCTATAGAGACTTGACAATACTGTGCTGTATGCTAAGTACCGACAAGACAACGCCTACAGTTCTGTGTTGTTTATGGTCTACACCTACTTACAAAATCATGACGTCAGTTTTTATTTACGGTAGATTTCTAGCTGTTTGAAAATTACCGTGACAATATTGATGATTTCGGCACCTTGAAAAGAATAGTCTACTAGCCCATTTCCATCTAATTCATAAACAGATGTTTTGGAGATATTCACCGCAATTTTCTATATATGGCATCTCAGGAATCAAACTATTGCTGAACCAAATCAACTCTCCATTAGTAACTAAAATTGTTCTTATCCATCATTCGGTTGCCTCCTCACGAGCAACCCTCAAAAGTCTTCTACCTTTGAACGTGTGATACCAAACACTTTCTTAGGCCATCAGAAACATTTCTGCGGTCTCCATTAGTAACTAAACTGTTGAATCATACCAAGACACGTATTAAAAACACGAACATTAAGCCAAACAAAAACTGGTAGTGAGTCATCTTTATTATTTCAAATGGCACCCTGCATATTTTTCCAGTTTCAACATTCGAGATTATAAAAGAAAACAACACTTGACATTTTGAATTGGAAGATCAGCAGTTTACAAAATTGAGTTCGACCCCGACTTCAAGATATTCCTTCAATAATAATTCAACTTGTTTACATCGCATTGTGAACATTCAACATATCCTTCTTCTGGAATTAATGAGATTGGAACTGGTATAGTGGGCCATCCAGTAAATTTTTCTGAAAGCTCACTGAGATTATGTATTGTTGGATGAGATCAGATGACAACAATTTGTAAATATTTCTGAATTGGTTTCAACGAAACCTTCCGTCTTGCGGAATTGAAAACCATCTTCTCATGTTTTTTTCTCCTTAGGATCCATAATGAGTATTTTTGATAATGTTCTCGACTCTTTATTAGTACATCCTGGTAGAAAACACCACTATTTCGACGGAATTTCACTCTGATAATGTCAAGAAGACATTAGGAACAAACACTGCATGGAAATAAGGCTGGTCGGGCGGGCTTGTGACGTCACCACAATAGTTTCCCCGACAGACGTGAAACTTTCAGTCTCAATAAGAAAATGAAATTGAGATACTTCAACATCAGAACCATGTTTATGAGCCCCAAATTTACCTATTTCAGTCAAAGCTGTAATTCAATAAATTCACCTTCGGAGCGTTGAACACTTCATTCGATGAAACAACAACCATTTTCGTGCCCAAGGTAAAATGAAGATGATGTTCCATACCATGGTGGCATGCACATCCGGCCTGGAAACCATTCTAGAGCGGCACTCCAATATCCAGGAACCTATCGAAATCAAGGACCTCGTAAGCCGGTTCACCACTGACGTCATAGGCTCGGTGGCATTCGGCATCGACTGCAACAGCCTCGAAAACCCGGATTCAGAATTCAGGCAATACGGCAGGAAGATTTTCCAGTTCGACCTGGTGAGAAGGATCAAAGGCATGATAGTGATGGTGATACCACGCCAGATACTCGTCATGATAGGCTTCAAGCAAATGGACCCGGATATCGAGAAGTTCTTCATGAAGGTGGTAAGTGAATAAGAGATGTCTTGTTATACGAAAATATGTTTTTGGACAGTTACTGGCCCAAGGAACTTACTCTACCTCCTTTTTATTCTAAGTAAAATCGCTACATGAAAAGCTGTAATTCGCAGTAAAGATCATTGGAATCGTTTTATTCATATAGAAGTTCGATCTGTTCGAAATTCAACGAAGTTTTCGACCAATACAGCTGATAATTCTATCAGTAGTAGACTCTCAGAAGGGTTTTCATGAATAGAGTTGAAGTACTACATCCATTTCTTCTGATGGTATACTTACACAGGCTACTCGAGAGTTAATATCTATGACTCCTTCAACGGGTTGCTGGTTGTTTATAGACTAGGAACATTCATTGTATTTATTTCAAATCATGTCATAGTTCCTGCCATGCTCTTCATCAAAATTTAATAGAAGTCAAAGCCCAGGGACTTTCAAAACACAGCCCATTCTTATCTAGGTTAAAGACACGGTCAGATACAGGGAGGCGAATAACATCCACAGGAAGGATTTCATGCAGCTGATGCTGCAACTGAAGAATCGCGGCAAAGTGAGCGAGGAGGAGGAATCCTCACCCCTTCCTGTAGGACAGATCGAAGGGCAATTCATGACCCTCAACGAGGTGGCAGCCCAGTGCTTCGGCTTCTTCGCAGCTGGATTCGAAACTTCGGCTACCACGATGACTTTCGCGCTGCTAGAGCTAGCGCTGAATCAGGATATACAGGACGAGCTGAGAAAGGAGATTGGGATGGTTTTGGAGAAACATGGTGGGGAGCTTACGTACGATGGTATAATGCAGATGAGTTATTTGGATAAAGTGGTGCATGGAAGATCACTCAATTATAAGATCTGATTCTTCATTTGAACAGGCACATAATAGTTGAGAGAGATGATGAAAATAAATATATAGCAGTGAATATGTAAGATCACATAATAACATACATTTCAACTACAATTACAATGAGAAGGTGGCAAGACTAGTCTGCATAATTTCACAACTCTCATATTCAATATTCATATATCGAAAGAGCATACAGTTTGTTGAACTTTTCTTGAGTTCCTTGACCAGAACCAATATTTTATTGTTAACAAATAAATTTGAATAACATTATATCTTTTTGAAAATCCAGTGATTCGACACTTATACCAAATGTTCGTTCTACTTGTGACGAAGTCGTATCCTTGTTCCGTGCGAAAATTTACTTTACACCTCTGAAGCTTATTCTTATGATCAACATGATCTACAAAGCACAGATATGGCCAGTTTTACAATACCGTTCTCATGTATGGGTTTCAGAACCCAAACATACGCTGAAGCTCTTGAATTCCATCCAGAGAAGAGCCATTCGCCTGGTGGGTCATGCCAAACTCAATAACTCTTTGCCGTCATTATAGAATACCGTAGAAATATCGGCGACCTTTCAGTCTTCTATAGGGATACTTCCAAGGGAAATGTTCCTCAGAAATAACTGCTATAACTCCATCACTAGCAATACCAGTTTTGACAGGCCCAGTCAGCACACCCTTCCGTCGTTGACCTTGAAATATGTCGAAAAACACTTTAACAAAACTCGTTCGTCTATAGAACTGCGAAGCTTTGAAACTCTTCGCCAATGAAAGTATTCCGAAGATCTTGTAATCTCCGAAAGTTCAAAAAGTTTCCTAGATAGGCACGATGTTACACAAACAATATAGGAATTTCCTGCCGTGCCCTCCAAGAGATAAAAAAATATCTAAGAGAATGTATGGATTATGGTGCACGGTATCCGAGCGGTCTAATGGGCTCAACTTGCTCACCTCGGCGCCCCAGAGGTGGTTCGAAATCCACTATAAGCTATTGGTCCCGCTCTTCCTAACCCCGTACAAGTTACGACTCCTGGCGAATTGGTTCCAACTTCTAACTAGCGATATACTTTTCAAACAGATTTTTTAGAAAATTTAATCGAGAGATTTTCATTCCAGAAACCTTACGTAAACACCCACCCATTCCCGGTAGTCCCAGGGTCTGTAATAAAGATTTCAACATTCCTGGCACCGAAGTGGTCATCGAAAAGGGAACCAGAATTCACATTCCCTTCCAGGCCATCCACAGGGATCCAGAATATTATCCAGATCCAGAGAAATTCGATCCAGAAAGATTCAACGAGGAAAACAAGGCCAAACGACATCCGTTCGCTTTTCTTCCATTTGGAGAAGGGCCAAGAATATGTATAGGTAAGATAACTTCTTTATGTTTCAGATAATTTAGTATTCGAAATAACGAATATTTTCAATTCGTTTAATATTATGTTCAAATGAATACAGAAAGCTCGAAGTCATTTCCACACAATGTTCATAAAACGAACAACAATGGTAGATTTAGGGAGAAAACCAACGACTTTCCTGGCTAATGCCACGCAGAACATTGGATTATATCCTCCCGAAATATATGCATCCACTCGTATAAACGAATACTGATACAAGTGATTTTTTCCTGAATGCCTATTGATTTCGATTACGCCTAGTCGACGGTCTTAGGACTGCTGGCTGGAGACTGCCCTGCACTTATGAGATTGAAAGAGCTCGAAACCGGTCTGTAGATGTCTAGCGTGGCCTGGCTAAATCGAAATAAAGAGGCATTTTGGAGAAAATCACTTGTCACTCAGTTTCATTTGAAAGTATGTAGACATGTGATATGAGATGTTATGATTGAAAACGGATTAATGTTTTCAATGTTCCTGAAACTTTAGTAAAACATCTTAGTTACTAACAAGTAGTGAATTCAACTTGACTCATCGGAAATTTGTTTTTTCTGCAACCGACACAAAAGTCGTCCATTTTAACACCAAAATTAGCACTTGAATCCAGGTTTCTATTACTGACACAAACATAGGTATGTTGCTAGGCAACACTTTTGGTTCCTAGGAGCTGAAGTTGGACTTCACCTCCTAGGAACTGAAAAGGATGTAGTAGGTCATCTAGAATGAACAACATTGTTTTATGATTGGTTATTCTGGTTGAGACGCATACCTGATTTGTTCCTGATTTCGGCAGATTTGGCATTTTATACCGATGCTGGAGATATAAATACACCATATTATTCTAAATTATTTTTGATTCAATCAGGAAAGCCTTCAAGATTCACATATTTGCTCGATCTGTTTCTCATTAATCCTCAGGATCTGATCAATTGGATACTTTTTTTCTTGTATAATCACGGCCAGCAATACTTTCATGTCTCACACAACGATAATGTTTACCTTTATTTGATTACCGAGCTAAAGACGGTGAAAAATGGAGAGAAATAAATAATCTATATCGATATTACTGTTGATATGGTCACTAACCACTTCTTTTTTGGCACTGGCGCGGTTTTTGCTATTAGGGATGACAGCTTCATCGATTCAATAGAATACATTCATTTGTTGCATGCATACATATGGCACGGCATCCCCGTTTCGGGTATAGAATTGAATTCGTCCTTGTAGTATCTGATGTAAAGTAGTATGAGGTCTTGCTTTTATCTACTTACCTATATCATCATCATCAGCGCTTGAAATTTTTTATCTGAAATTGAGAAATCTAACAGAAAATAATCATTTTCAGAAAATATTACTTGCTTGCTTTCGGTTTCGACTGATAACTTGATTCATTGATGAAAAGATAAGTACCTCCATACCTAGCTACTGATGAAATTTACGGAAATTGACACATCGCCTAGGCAACAAAACGAAGTAATCTATCAACATACCTATGAAAACCGTGCGCTGTGCATAAGAAGAAGCTTATTCATTTATCAACATTGTTTTGTGTACAATATTCATCACTCACAATGAATAGTTATTTTTGTATCTAGAGCACGAAATGCTACTTTGGTGATCGAGATCTGATTTTTTTAACGAGGCGTAGCCGAGTTGAAAAAATTGTCGAGAACACAAAGTTAATGTTGAACGTTCAGAAATAAAGGATTTCGTGGATGTTTGATCGATTGAGGACCATTAAGTTGAAATATAAATATCTCATATATTTTACATATAACAATGCGCGAAGTAGGTACTTCGCGCACTGTTTTACTCCGCGCATTGTTTTGTGCAAGGTATCATGGTAACGTAGGAAACTGAAAAGAAGTGCCACTTCGCAATTTGTTATCAATGCGCGAACCTCGTCATTTTTTGACGTTTGTAGAAAAAAGTAATTAAACTGGTGTGTAAAAAATATTGCAAGAAAACTAATGCGGCATTCCGTGAACTGATACATTTGATATATTCAAGAAAAAAAATTATTTACAGGATCACGATTTGGATTAATGCAAGCGAAAGTTGGGTTATGTGCCATTTTGAGGAAGTTCAAAGTAACGCTTGATGAGAAGACAGCAACTCCAATCAAATACTCGACTACCAGCCCCCTTACATCAGTAGATGGAGGAGTATGGATTAGAGTTTCTTAACTCTGATGAATTATTCTCATTAGACAGTAACCTATTACTGAAAGAAATATTTGTATTTATTATCATCTATTATTAACTATTTAATATAATTACTTTCATTGATGTTCTTAATTTTCCTCCAGAATCACCAATTCAAAAAACCTCACGTAGGTATATCTTTGATGAGAGTATGACGATGACAGCCATAAAAAAATCATAGAAGTCATAGTAGCGGTTTCCATTGGGCATGCTCTGGTGGAGGATTTATGCACTCAGTGTATATCTATCCTTCTTTTTGACGTGTAGTAGAAAGAGAAATGTATACACTGAGTGCACATTAGTTTTACAGCGTAAACAACCAATACCACTCCTCTAAAAAAAAAAAAAAAACCAATGGAGTTGGATCCTACCTACACAAACCTGTTTCTTATGAAGTATTTTACCAGCCCTACCCCTTCCCCTACCCGAAAAATCTTCCTATAGAGCTGTTTTACGATGACCCAGTAAATCTATCACTCAGCTTCGCTAGTGAGATTTCTGTTTACGAGATGTAACATTTTCACACAAGGACTTTACATTGACTTGCCTAACTTTTTATATCATAGGTACTTTCCGAACGTAAAGGATTGAAATTACCTGTGGACAGGTTGAAAGGCACTTATTTTTTTATGAAGAAACAACTGACGACAGTTACATCAAAAATTACATTCCATTAGAAATAATCTGATGTGTTCGTTAACGTATTTCCTGTGACCGCTTCTAATCTATTTATAGAATTAATGTTTACTGAACCAACAACAATGTAGTGACACTTCATTTCCATTGCCGTTCATGACCAATGTGTACACTTGACTTGCTTCTCAGTATTGCTGTGTGATCGAAAGAATTGTGTTTGAAGACAGTTTTTATTGGTGCCAGTCAGATTCATTCATCATTGTTGAAGGTATCTTCAATTCGATTTGATTTGGCACATGAACCGATCTATCTATACATATTACGCGGTGGTATACCTTTATAATGTGAATAATGTGATTTACTCGAATTACTACCTAAGTATAGTGTCAATCAGCTGATTCCTTTTGCTAGAACTGGATAGGTGCGGTCTTTTTGAGAATTTGTCAGTCACCAAAGTGGTTATGAAAGCTTGTACAAGGTTATTCTAAAATTTTATTGTTATTTTCAACTTTAACGCCCTATATGTTTATAGAAGATGAAACAATTTAGGATACATGATCATATGGAGTTTGAAATGAAAAGAATATATGCAGGGTGTGATTCAATTGATGGCTAACAAAATAGGATATGGTTCCTTAAATTATTTCAAGAAGAAGAGTTCATATGAACATAAGCCCTCAGCTTCTTATATCTCTCAAGCTATATAGGGCGTTGAAATTTCATTTTCTCTCAATAATTGATAAAGAAACTTTCAGAAAGTAAAAAACTGTCAGCACACTCATGAATTCTTGTCAAAATATGACCGCAATGTAATCGCTCGAGTGTCATTATATATTTTTAGCCGCATCAGTTAACTTACACCCTGTGTATTGTAGCTACATCGTGATGAAAAATAAACGGTGAGATAAATCAGATGAATTACTCTCATCATGACTGTAAATCACGTAATCACATATTTACTGATAATGATATTTGCATATCAGATTAGGCGAAAGTTTATCAGCAATACGAAATATTTCAGTGCCAAAATGGATATCTCAACGATCGCTTACATTGTGATAAGGCGTTTTCGGAAACTTACTCTGGGTTGTTGACTCGATCTGAAGGGGTCACGTGATGGATCAGTCGGATCACTTATCCTAATACTATAGTTTACGAACTTATCAGGTTACTATTTTATTGACTTAGCTTTATACCTCTTCGAATAGAACTTCTTGATTTCTTACAGCTGTATGCAATATTTTCAGTTTGCTATACGATATCAATATTTTCGAATCAATTTCTCCATGTCTTCAAAAACGTACCACTAAACTCTTGAAAGATACACGTTGTTATTGTTCTAGAAATGATGAATATTGCTTCCTCTCATGATGTTGGTGTATTTTCATCATCAAACTAATTTGCTAATGCTATTCAACATAATTCACTTCTTGTTCAATTGATGAAATCAAATAATATCTGAAGTGACCTTAGAAATACATGAATCGTGAGTAGTTCTGTGGTAGTAATTGTATGATCTAAGGTAGTAACTCTGGCTGACCCTGCTTTGGAGCAGGGTTGCGAAACGTGAACCCGAGTTAGTGATCGAGTAAGTAACACCGAAGTTTCCGAACATGGGTATGTTACTCGGGTTAGGTAAACGAACGTGCAGGTTAGGGATCGAGTCAACCCGAGTAGGTTTCCGAAAACGCCTATAGTACTGCTGACCAGTGTTTACGCCTATTCGAAATGGAGCTACACCTACTGGAAGAGAAGAGGATTGGAATACTTGGAACCTGAATTCTTCTACGGAAACAACAGAGACCTGATCCAGAGGAAGCTGGGATTCGGCGACCATTTTGCCAACGTCTACAACAATTTGAAAGCGAGAGGGCTGAAATGCGGTGGGATGTTCATGTTTTTCAAACCGGTTTTCATGCCGGTAGACTTGGACCTGGTGAAAACGATCATGCAGAAAGATTTCGACCACTTTCGCAACCACGGAATGTACGTCAACGAGAAAGTGGATCCTTTGACGGGACATCTTTTCAATTTGGAAGACGAAAAGTGGAGGAAACTCAGGGCCAAACTCACCCCTACATTCACCTCAGGTATTCAATATGAAATTGTCGAGTCAAAATTGGTGTTCAAATCGGATGTATTATCAAAACATTAACTAAGAGGGTGAAATTTCATCTATAGATTCATTGAATTCCCAGGATAGAGACGTGTAACATGAAGATTTGCCTTTTCGTGTTCCATATTGTGAATTCTGCAAATAGGTAATGGGGAAGCCTTGTAGAGATGCACTGCGTAACTCAATGATTTCTTTTCTAGGTTTTGAGGTACTTTACATGATTCCATCTTGTTGAATGTTTTCATTTTCAATGTCCATGACTGGATGACTGTTAGGTTATTTTAGTCCACTTCTTATCAATTCTTACACATTTGTCAGATGCCCATGAATATCGTTGTTTCCATCATAGTCTCTTGCCAGTAGAAGACTGTTTGTCGCGTTTAGTGGCAGTGGCCTGTAATGGTGCAGGGATATTCGCAATTTTGTATCGACTAATGTATCGACTATCGTATCGACTATCGATGTCATGATCGATATTTAATATTTCTTTCAAGTTGCATCCCTGAATCTGACTTGAATCATATTATTTGGGTGGCTAGATTGACACTGCGCAGAGACGGAATTTGGTTTGTATTATTTTTTGCAATAGATCAAAAGTGCTCTGATTGACGGAAACTTGTTGTTTAAGCAATTTCCGTTTATTCATCCTTCTTGTTGATTCCTTCTCTTGCGAAAAGGTTTCATGTGCTGAAGCCAAAATGAGGCCCTTTTTGATTTTGGCTCTCGTGCGATCAGGTCAGTTGGTGGACACCTACTTTTGTGTTAGGCCTTTCCGATAGGAAGGTACTTGAATTACATTGTAATCAAACCACCGATGTTGAACATACTTAATAGTTGTAACAATCAAAATCTAAATGACCAGTTGAATCGCATGACAACTAATAGAAGAAGATATCAACACCAATCACTACAAGCGTACAAGATATTTTGATAGAAAGCGTATTCACACCAGAGTTGAGAAAAGAACAAGCAATCGGAGGACTGCTGTCCTTTCTACTCTACCCTCTGGTTCAGAACTGACTGAAACATATCTTCCCTTCCTCGCTCCGGTCCCCGTTCTGCTGAAGTGATATTCTTCGAAATATCAAATGCGTTCCTTTCAATAACTTATAGGCTGAACAATCTTATGAGTGGTCTCCATTCATCCATTTCCATACGTGATTGGTAGATATCTGAAGCATCTCATTCTGACATTTCATCACATTTCAAGTCATTCAAAAGTATTTCGAAGCATTCCAAGAATTTCAGAACATTTCGTACCATTTCCTTATACCATTTCAATTTGTTTCATGTCCTTTCGAAATATTCCAAAGTATTTCAATGAATTTCAATGCATTTCATGGCATTTAAAGGTATTCAATGCATTCCTAGGAATTGCATGGCATTTCTAGGGATTTCAGAGTATTTCAAGGATTTCAAGGCATTTCATGCTATTTCGGAGATGGCATTTTATTTTATTTCATGTCATTTCAAAATATTTCAAAGCATTTCAAGGCATTTCATGGTATTTTATGGCATTTCATGGTATTTCATGGCATTTCAAGGCATTTCAAGGAATTTCATGGCATTTCAAGAAATTTCAAAGAATGTCGAGGATTTTACGGCATTTCATGCTATTTCGGAGATGGCATTTTATTTTATTTCATGTCATTTCAAAATATTTCAAAGCATTTCAAGGCATTTCATGGTATTTCATGGCATTTCATGGCATTTCAAGGCATTTCAAGGCATTTCAAGGAATTTCATGGCATTTCAAGAAATTTCTAAGAATGTCGAGGATTTTACGGCATTTTATGGTATTTCAGGAATAACATTCCATTTGATTTCAAGTCATTTCAGAATATTTCGAAACATTTCAACGCATTTCAAAGTAATTCATTGCATTTCAAGGAATTACACAGTATTTCAAGGCATCTCATGGTATTTCAGAAATGGCATTTCGTGACTGTTGCACGCATTTGCGTAGTGGTAACTTCCTAAATTTCTCAAGCAATCTTGGGGAATTGTCCCAAATTCTTCTTGAAGGGCGAATCGTAGCTCCTGAAGAGTCTTGGACATGGCCGAAAGAAGACGATTGAGCTTCTGGAGTTCATCCCAAAGATGCTCTTCAGCTTCTAAATTATTGTTTATGCAAATGAAAAAAAATTATTTTCTTAAAACCATCGTCTCTTCTCTTGAAAAGAGGATATCGACGTGAATCAAGAATCATTGTGTCAAGAAGGGGTCACACTTCAATCCAAAACATGATGGAGCTGAGGTTGAGGGTGAAAGAGTAACTTCTGTTTTCCCTGTATAATGATCAAGCAATCAGCTCTTTCGGAGAACCAAAATTCACAACGAAACATGAATTTTCAATTTGGTCGAAATTTCACCAGAATCGGACAGGCATCGAAAAAGTTACATGACGATCAATTGGGCAACATTTTTTTATGACCGCGGTGTTCTCACCGGTGAATGAATAATTCTGTTATCAAGATACGGATTTTATTCCTTCATGTCATATAGGTTCCCACACTGTAGATATATATTATATTATTCTTTTGGAAATTTCGAAATAATGAGTTCAAAATATTTCAAGGTGATATTCATAAATGTTTACCTTATGTATACTACAACTTGTGGAATTGTCAAGATAAGAATAATCTCAATGGTTATCTAATTTATAAATAGATGTTTTGGATATATATTATGCAATTTTCCACATGCTAGCACAAAAATCATAAACAATGTTATTGAAATATAAATATCAACATATACAGATGAATTTTTTGAATTGACTCGGCCGTTACTTGATTGAAATCCATTTCTACGTGCAGAATTCCGAAATTATCATCAAAACTATGGTTTTCTTCTAATATATGGTTGGCGTATGGCGTACGGAAATGAAGGACTGAAACTCAATCATTTTGAATCATTAGAAATCAACAAACTCAAAAATTTTGACATTTTGAGATTCGAAATAAATTGTCCATCGTTCACGCCATCTATCATCGGATATAGAATGGCACGTTCCAAACTGGCATTCAATTGTTCATATCGAGAGTTAGTCTGACGAAACAATTGAAGAGTGGGCACACCAGAGGGATCATGAACATCTCAATTTCAACAATATCGGACCATGTTTATAAAACCTAAATCAAAACTTAAAATCGAGGAATTCTTCTTCGCAGCGTTGAACAGTTCATTCAATGAAACAACCACTATTTTCGTGCCCAAGGTAAAATGAAGATGATGTTCCAGACCCTCGTGGCTTGCACCTCCGGCCTGGAAACCATCCTCAGGCAACACTCAAATATCCAGGACCCCATCGACATCAAAGACGTCGTCAGCCGGTTCACCACTGACGTCATAGGCTCGGTGGCCTTCGGCATCGATTGCAACAGCCTCGAAGACCCGGATTCCGAATTCAGGCAGTTCGGCAGGAAGATTTTCCAGTTGAACTTCGTGAGGCGCATCAAAGGCTTGATAGCAATGGCCTTGCCACGCCAGATACTCGTCATGGTAGGCTACAAGCAGACCAGCCCGGATATCGAGGAGTTCTTCATGAAAGCGGTGAGAGAACAAGACATTCATTTATTTATTCATTTAGGATTTTAGGTTGCATACAGTACAAAGTACCAAAATAGTATCCTCATTGTAGCTACGTGGTGAGGCAAGTTATACATCAGTTATACAGAGTGTTTCCTAACTACGGTTCCTAAATGCAGGGGGTGATGTGTCAGGTCATTTTGAGAATAAAAGTTCCTATGAACATATGTCCGGAGTTGCTTCGTTTCTGAGATACAGGGCGTTGAAATTAAAGAAAAAAAAACGGTAATTATAAAATATCATGAATATCCTGGAACCGATATGGTTGAAATTTGGTACTTTTATTTGTAAAATTTTCTGAAATTTCAGCATATCAAGTGTCAATTAAATTTTTGGCGGAGATAATGAAAAACTCATTTCTCCAATGCAGGTGTTCATGATATGCAATACTATGGCTTTAATTTTTTTTCTCGAAAACGAAGCTGGATATGAAGGAAATGCAAGAGACCAAAAAGTTGTATTTTGAGTTGCTCAATCTAAACAAAATGAAAATTCACCAAAGTCAGTGGTGCACTTTTTTTTCACAATATTGTTGGCTGTGGTGCCCACTGAGACGCCACTGGCCCCAATAATTTCAATCTAAATAGGGCTAAATAAGCGCCTTATTAGTTGAAATGAAAGTACCAAATTTCAACCAAATCGGTTCTAGGATATTCATGATATTTCATAGTTACCGTTGTTTTTTCTTCAATTTCAACGCCCTGTATCTCAAAAACTAAGCAACTCCGGACATATGTTAATAGGAACTTTTCTTCCTAAAATGACCTAACGAATCACCACCTGCAGTTAGGAACCGTAGTTAGGAAACACCCTGTATAGTTAGCAAAGGAAATTTAAAGTACATGATGTGAAAGAAACATTTTCAAGTCTTGATCAGCAATACAAAAGATATACATAATACGAGTAAAGATATTATATCGAATTTTATATATTTATAGTTATAGGAAACTATGATTGACGATTTCGAGTGAACCGATTTTTGAGGATCATTTTGAATCTATGTAGTGATATTGAGAAAATGTCTATGTTCAGATTATTACAATATCTGTTAAAAAGATTATGCATTCTATTCAGAGAAGAAAGCTGTCCTACATTCGTGCTGCTGTACGAAATTGCAAATAAGTCCGTATTTCGAGAGGATCTATTAGGGATTCTGAAATTAATTTTAGACAAAAGATATGGCGAGTCCTATCTGATAAGCTCAGTATATTATGTTGGGATCTGATGATACGGTAGTTGTGATCTTCGATAGTTGTGTGTGTTTTGAATGCGAGAGATCGTAAAAATCTGTTTTTGGACACTTTCAATTCGTTTTGTGTAAGTTGTATATTGAGTGTTCCAAATAACTGAGGCCAAAAGATAGTTTACTATGAAAGAAAGCGAAGTATATAGTGAGATAAGCGCTTTGGAGTGATTAAAGTCCTTCGAGTTTCGGTTTATGAAACCAAACATTCTGTTAGCAGAGTTTATCGTCATTTCGATATTTTAAACAACCATTTCTCGTCAAGGGTCACTCCCAAGTCTCTTATTTCAGATACACGCTTGAGGTCCGAATTGTTAATTTGATACGTGAAATTCAATTTATTGGGTTTTCTAGTGAAGAATATGTTTCTATTTTGCGGTATATTTTTGAATCGTCCGCATAAAGCAGAATGTTGCAATGTTTGAAGCCCATTTTTATGTTATTATTATAAATATTAAAAAATAGTGGACCGAGATGTTGTTAAATGAGAATACAGGGTCTCCGTTTTTCGAGCTCTACCATGGAGATCTCAGTTATTATAAGAGATACGAGGTCGGTTAATTTGGGGCAAAGTTGCACAATTTCATGCTGACCATTTTTCTGCCAGAAGATTTGATATGTCATTTTTGTTTTTGAATTATTGGAAGGAAACGGAAATTTACAATTTTCGTTCTTATTTTTTCAAGCGGAAACCAAAACAGCACCTAGACGATTTTGACACTTTTTTACAGGGAATCTAAATCTGTCATTGTATTTTTCATGACGTTATTGATGCCAAAGTTACAACACACAGCTTTTTTTTTCTTATGAGCGCCATATTAGATTTTTGCATTTTTAAAAAGTACTTTCTGGTTACAATGATGTATCACACGATATGATCGAATCTTTCCTGTTGATTAAAATTGGGAAAAAAAACATTTTTGCGAAGAGTGCTTTGGAAAGAACACCAACAGTTTAGTTTAACAAGCTGAATTTCGACAGTTTATTCGAATTTGGATCTGGAATGTTCACATTTTCGTCAATCACATCAACTTAGAATCTATGGTCTTGAATTAGTAGACGTATTGAGCTGGAAGTTTATTCCTCGCAAAACACAATTCTACGCGTTTCCTCAGATTCTGAATTGCTCGCGAGATGTCCCGTCTTCTTATCTTAGTCCTGAAAGTATGGTGATTCTGGTTCTTCTCAGTTTCCGTTGTTGGAAATTACTTTGTCAGGAAACATATCTGACAGACACCCTGTACATCCATGAAAGGACCCATTTTTGGTTAATACTGACCCCAAAGTCCTAAGATGAATCTCTAGGGGGAAATAGGAATTGTTGTGATGTTTTTCAAAATGGTCTCTCGAGAATGTCAGTTTTAATCTTCTCCTGAAGATGCTAATTTAGTTAGCAAAAAACGTGTCGAATGCCTCGGATCATCTTGAATTTCTCGTCCTCATTTTTCTACAAAACAGTTCATTCTATCTAGGTTAAAGACACGGTCAGATACAGGGAGTCGAACAACATCTACAGGAAGGATTTCATGCAGCTAATGCTGCAACTGAAGAACCGCGGAAAAGTGAGCGAGGAGGAAGAAGCCTCATCCCTCCCTGTAGGACAGGTCGAAGGGCAATTCATGACCGTCAACGAGGTGGCAGCCCAGTGCTTCGTCTTCTTCGTAGCTGGATTCGAAACTTCGGCTACCACGATGACTTTCGCGCTGCTAGAGCTAGCGCTGAACCAGGACATACAGGACGAGCTGAGAAAGGAAATTATAATGGTTTTGGAGAAGCATTATGGAAAGCTTACGTACGAAGCCATAATGCAGATGAGCTATTTGGATAAAGTGGTCCATGGTGGGTACATTTAAGCTTATTGTGGAGTATATCTCTTCGACTCTCATTCATTACTTCAAAATGACATTCGGTGGGTCTGTCTATATTTCATTAATTTGATATACCATTGTCGTTCTAGATGGCAACCTAGTTAGGTAGTTAGTAGGCAAGAGCTATAATACCTCCTCGCGTACTAGGTCGCCTACTAAATTTTCATTTAGATCGACAATGAATATACTAACTCCAACAATTTCAATGTCAAACTGTCACAAATCATTTTCACTTTCCAGCTCCAAACATTTTGAATAATTATTGAAATCCACGATATCATAGAATTTGTAAAACGCGGGAAAACACAATTTTGACCGTAACGACGTTCACCATCACCAATCCAGTGCAACTATTTATATAAGATACGGCCTCATTAGGAATGGACCATCTCTGAACTACAGTTAGTAAACACCAAAATATGAAGTTTTAGCCATACATGACTCATAAAAATGTTGCTGGTTTAAGAGATATATAGGGTGTTCAAGAGGAGGATTTTATTTTGAAATTTCTCAATAACTTTGTCAGTTGAAACAACATGAACATACGATTTTGTAGTTTCAGGTTTTCTGACATCGAAAATACGAATTCGTTACTCATTTTGTGATTGCTCATAGAGGGCGATAATAACGGTCTGGTACTTCAGTAAATTACGTAATATCTTTTTTGTCCACTGAATATCGGCTGAAATAAGTATTTTTTTTTTCAAATTGTCTAGCTCTGATGGCTTTAGCGCTATTCACTCTTGAAAAGATATGTGCATGTAATGTTCATTATTTTAAATTATAAAATTAGCGAAGTGACACTGAGAAAAATTACAGTAATAATCGATGACAACACCAACAACAAAAACACAATATTAAAAGTTATAGAGGAATTTTAAAATTAAATATTCCCCATGTATCCCTGTATGCTATGAATCAGCAATATTTTTCCAAGGCACGCTGGGCTGAATCTTCATTATTTGTGTTCACTATCTGTAGGTCAGAGATTGCCGATTCTCAATGAATCACCCTGTATATGTATTGTGTGTACCTATTTCCAAGTGGTGATGTTCATATTGGTTGTAGAGAAATATGGGAGATATGTTTGTCGAATTATTTTAGTAGCATGTTTATATAATATAGTATAATGGTTCGACGCTCTATCAGAGATAGAGTCTATCTCAATCATCACATAGATCATCATAAACGAATTGTCAATCAGCAATTTCAGATATACCATATTAACTTGGTCCAGCGATGCTCTGAGAGTTTTGCGAGATAATCCTCATCACAAATACATCTGCACATCATCTATACAGCTGAAACACTTTAGTAAAGACTTTCGAGAATTACAACACCAAAGAATTTCAGCTTTCAAAAATATTATGAATGGTTTATCTCAATACATCGGAATTATGGACTTGGTCCACTCCACTGATGAAATTATGAGATCTGTTTCTTCATTAAAACAGACACTAAATAGTTGAAAATAGCATGAATAGCAGTTAATGAAATATACCCCAAAATAACTACATTACAACAAGAAGTTCATGATGTCAAGTCATCAAGATTACCCTGAACCAGAGTGCATCATGATTTCCGAACTCTCACATTCTATATTTGTATATAAATAAAGAATACAGTTTGTTGAACTTTTATTATGAATTCCTTGAACAGAATTGATATTTCAATGTCAATAAACGATTTGATTAACATTATTGTTTCCGGAAGGCCAGTGATTCGAAACTGATACACCAACTGTTCTACTCGTGGCAATATCTATGAAAATATATCAAGAAGTATTCGACTGACTTATTTCTATTTTATCAGAAACCCTACGTAAACATCCTCCGATTCCGGGTACTCCAAGGGTCTGCAATACGGATTTCAAAATTCCTGACACCGAAGTGATCATCGAGAAGGGAACCAGAATTCACATTCCCTTCCAGGCCATCCACAGGGATCCAGAATATTATCCAGATCCAGAGAAATTCGACCCGGAAAGATTCAACGAGGAGAACAAGGCCAAACGACATCCGTTCGCTTTTCTTCCATTTGGAGAAGGACCAAGAGTATGTATAGGTAAGAAAACTCCAATATTTTGGGGATTGATTTCGATTTCAGATCGTATGGAATCCCAATTTGCCATAGTTTTCGGAAAATCGGAAAATAAATACACATTACCTTTTGGAAAACAAATTCAATCCATCATCGAACTTATAGCGCTCTACAGAGTAACCCATTTGAATGCGGTCCACCCTCAAAAATTCTTTATTTATGGAGCGATTTTCACGATTTTTTTTTAATGTAGATGGGGGAATGGTGAATATTGAAACTAAACGGCGTCCATTTTTCAAAAGAACCAAGTCCTACTAGATCACATTCACAAACGGCCCAATATTATCTCAGCAATATTAGTCGTGCGATCTTTACCAGATTAGGACCGGTATGAATGACCATCAATATGATCAGTTTTTCAGAGACATACATCCTTTTTTATTGAAATGAAAAGTGGTGAATTATTTATGAAATCATATTAGGAACTTTCTAACAGAAAAACTGGCTTCATAATATTTTTCTTTATGGTTTCGACTGATGCCCACGTGAAGGTTTTCATATTCCTATAAAGGATTTCAAAAAACCAGGCACATCTGAACAGCATTTTCGCGAACATAATGATTATTTACTCGGATAAGGCGAGCTCAACATAAAATAGTATTTTGTTTCTTTCAAATCACGATCTTCTACCTACCGGAGTTATTCAACATTCCAATATTTGCAGATAATTTGTATTCACTAATTTTCCGAGGCTGAAAATGAAAAAAATGAAGCCAATTCTTTCAATTTGGACTACTATTCAGTAATCTTTGTTGGTACAGAGCTATCTCAGAGGACGCTCATGCCAGTGGTGTACGCAGATTTTTCTTAAAAAATTGCTGATAATATGGATTCTGGATTTTTCAGCCCCTGAATGTGATTTAGTAGGCCTTGGTTCAAAAATTTTCCGTGAACTGATGAATTTCCTATTTGTTTCATAGGAGCAAGATTTGGATTGTTGCAAGCGAAAGTTGGATTATGTGCCATTTTGAGGAAGTTCAGAGTAACGCTCGATGAGAAGACGAAAACTCCTATCAAATATTCGACTAACAGCTTCATTACAGGAGTAGATGGAGGAGTTTGGATTAGAGTTTCTCAACTCTGATGAGTAATGTTTAATGCAGTGATTTATAACTGGAAGAATATTTTCAAGGAATTGTTTTGTATCGATCTCTATTTTAATAAAATTATTTCTATGGGTGCTCTATATTTCTCTCCTAAATCAAGATTTCGAAGAATCCCGCGTACATCTACCTACTTCATATTCATAAATTGCAACTGGTTGTGACTGGTTGTAACATCGTTGATGACAGCCACATTGAGAAATAATAGAAGTCATAATGCTAATATTATTGGTGCAATTTATGTTTTCGATAATTATCGAGTAAAACAGTTGCACTACATAGATAAGGATGACCTACGGGGTATGGTTCAAATTGATAACAAAGGGGAATAGCTCTGACAAAAAGAAACACAGTGAATCCTCAAAAATGATTACAAGAAATTTATAGAAAAGTATAACAAAAAATGTTCAAAGAATACTGGAACTAACAGGGTGTTAATTAATTCACTGCCGATAATACAAGGTGTGAATCTTCGGGTGATTTCAAGCAGGAGAAAAAATTATATCAATATATGTCCTAAACCTCTTAGTTTTTGAGCTACAGGGCGTTAAAATCATAGAAGTACATTTTTTTATATCAAAACATTCAATATATCAGGCCTATGAACATCACTGGTAAAAGTAAAAAAAATGATTTTCGTCCCAAAACAAACTGTGTATCTACTCATAGTGGGTGCCTACTAAATTTTTACGAAATACAAAAAACTATTGAGAAGAAAAATTCTCAGATATATTATGAATACTAAAAAAATCGATAGATAATATATAAGTATATTAAGATATACATTGAGACTTCGCATTCTCTATGATGTGATGGAATAATTAATCCTTTCTCAGTATATTCAAGAGAAAATAATTACATTCCTAGCTATTTGCCACGTCGAACATCGAATTATATCTGTTCAACATCCAAATGGAGAACATGAAAATAAAAATCCTCTCAAATTGAGAATGGACTTCCTCTTTCAAATCGGATAAATAATATAATGTAAAATGGTATAAATATATATATATATATATTCGGTATTGAAATGAAAATTGAAATGTATAGAAGTAATAGAGAATGAACTGAAGAAAAACATTTTTTGGTTTCATTTTTTTACGCGAAAACGGTACCTCGAATGAAAGTAAGTCTGGAAGCCAAATTTTCTCCAAAATAAATGAGGATTACAGAAATAATTTTGGTTTTTTAAAAAATCAGTAGCGTATCATTTTTTTCCCCAAGAATTGTCAGTTCAAACGCCGTACAGAATTTCATAAAAAAATGTGAGAGTGATAAAAAACAAAAAAACTCACTATATTCTTCTAAAATTTTAACACTCCGTAGCTCAAAAACTAAGAGGTTTAGTTTAGGACATATGTTGACATGAACTTTTTTTCTTCAAATCAACCAAAGATTCACATGTTGTATTATAGGCACTCAAATAATTACCACCGTGTATATTTTGGCAAATATATAAGGTGAATTGTTAGACTATAGATCGGCAGCGCTCTGCAAAAGGTTGAAAACAAATGCAATACCTACCTCCTCTCCCTATCCTTCTTAGGTATGCATGGTGTTCTTCGAACATTATAGAGATTTTCTTTCGTGCGCCCCAAGCGATGAAAAAAAATCAGTATATCCGAATTTAGAGGACCAATATTTCAATTCAACAGTAGATTTCAATCATACGACGGGTTGATCTAATAGTTGGTCAAGATGCATCCAAAATTATTCATTTTTTTATTGTTTTTAATGATAATACTAATCTCATTTGCATTCAGCATGATTATGCAGACAAACAAAAACATAAAGATAATAGAACCATGACGAAAAACTATTCTCACATGAAGAGAAAAAAGAACGGGACGAATAAAAAGTACAAAACTAAGAACACACCCTGTACAAAAACTCCACTCAGCTGTACTAGATCGTTTTTATGTTTATGATGACCATAGAAAAGATAGGGGTTATACAAAAAGTAAACATTGATAAGGGACGATATAAGCATAATATCTGTAATTAGGTAAGCACAACACGCATTTGTTGTTTACATTCGGACTTTAGAAGATAGTATGGAATTCAAGAATAAGTAAGTTGAATTTAAATATTGATATTTTTCCTTTTATATAAAAAATAATTCAATTTTTTGATGAAAAAGTAGAGGATGAGAGGATTTTCATCAAGAACTTTTGTGACTTCTGAAAGAACAGCTCGAAACATGTGAATCCTTTACTCACAGCACTGTGTATGTTCTTACAATTATTGTAGTAATTCCTAATGGAATAAAGCCAAAACAGAGAGATTAGGCTAAATCGAAAGAATTTTTGGCACATAAATGTACTTTGGGGAACAAGGACGAATCAATATTGGGAAGATATTAAATTATATTCAGATCAGAAAATTATCGACATGAAATTAGAAGTTTTCAACAGGATTGAAACCTGCGATGCAGGCATCTTTCGACGTACCTAATCAAACATCTGTCAGTTTTATTCTGTGATTTTATTTTCAAAAATTGCGAAATAAAGGGTTGTTTAGTAATTTACGTAACCGCGAAGTCGAATGGAAGATAGAAAGACTTGCAGGTCTTTCTCGGAGACGGTGTTGGCTTATTTTTCGGAACTATACAGGGTGATCCACGGTGGATGGCCTATTAGAAGTATCTGGAGAAGGAAAAGACAAAACATTCTGAAAATTGGGATGCTTTGATAATTGAACATTCTCTATCCGTCTAAAATATTTTCATCGGTACAGTGTTGCCACTTCTATCAGAAACAACTAGCAACTTCGTTATTTTAAATGGAGCACCCTGTATTTTATTGCATTTTTGTATTCTTCCTGAAGAGCTGATTTCATCAATGTATCACACTTGGGGTCTAGCAGGAATGATTACAGAGATATAAGGTGTTCAAAATCGAGATTTTTCAATTTGAGGATTTTTTTGTGTCGAAACTAGACATTATCGATCAAAACGGCTTACATGTCCCTATCCTAACTTCCGATTCACCATCTACTGACATTTGATTGGAACAGATACAGGGTGATCAGAATTCTGATTCTTGAAGCACCCTGTATTTTTTCCAATTAAGTGTCAGTAGATGGTGAATCAAAAGTTGAGATAGGGACATGTGAGCCGTTTTGATCAATAATGAATAGTTTCGACACAAAAAAATCCTAAAATTGAAAAATCTCGATTTTGAACACCCTATATCTCTGTAATCATTCCTGCTAGACTCCAAGTATGATGCATTGATGAAATCAGCTCTTCAGGAAGAATACAAAAATGCAATAAAATACAGGGTGCTCCATTGAAAATAACGAAGTTGCTAGTTGTTTCTGATAGAAGTGGCAACACTGTATCGATGAAAATATTTTAGACCGATAGAGAATGTTCAATTATCAGAGCATCCCAATTTTCAGAATGTTCTTCCTTTCCGTTCTCCAGATACTTCTAATAGGCCATCCAGCGTGGATCACCCTGTATAGCACAACAAAAGCCATCATCAACAGTGTATATGTGATATATTTCCAGGAAAAAAGTACTCACTTTTTTCCCGTGGAAAAGAAAGTAATTCATGAAAAGTGACATTTTATAACCTGCCAACAGAGATTAAATTGGTTTTATAACATTTGGAGAAAAAAATTCATTCATTATTCCAGATATTTTGGGATTTTCTCTCCTCGTTTCTATAAAATAAAAACATGAGAAATATTGCAATTGCCCCAAAATGTCACTGCGCTTAAAGAATTTTCCTCTCAGAACCCAAAAGTGAAATGGAGAAGAGGAATAAAGGTGATAGAAAAAATATCAAATTTTCACTTAGCTTAAGAATGTCCGCCGGGATTGGCGCAGTGGAAGAGCGTCCGCAAGGTCATGGGTTCGATTCCCAGCACGAGCAAGGAACTTTTTTCAATATTTTATTTACGAATTGAATATTGTAAAGTTTTAGAGCATTGGCTGGGGATAGTCCATCACGATTCGCTGTTGCGTTCCAATTAACAGTGCTGCTCCTGAAGTGGCGCATGGAGTTAGTAACAAAGCCTACACAGAACACGCAGAAAAAGATGATGATGTGGTTGTGGGCATCAGAGAAGAAGTAGGACGGTGTATGTAGGTGGGTGTGGAAAACTGCCAGCTGAGCGTGAGAGCGGGCCAGCTGCTTAGTGGACCTAGGTCTCTAACGGGGGTTAACGAGAATAGCTAGCAGACCTGCCACTGCAGCATATGGTAGTGAGTACACTACTAGCCTACAAATCACAGCCAAAAAACTCTGAAAGAGAGCTGATGGGCGGTGCCTGAAAAGGATGTTAGCCAGCTCTCTTAAGTGGACCACATCAGTCATTTAAAACACCTTGGACTTTGCAAAAAGGGCCCATTAGGGACTAGTTGCAGACGTGCAAACATCTCCCACCAGTACCAGTACCAATAGCTTAGAATATACCACCTCCTCGATTAACCTACAGACAGTATTTAACAAATTATATGTTTCACACGGCAGCAAATGTAGATCGACTGCCTAGTAAAATAAAAAATAACTATTGATGATTGAAAATACTGTATGATATTGAAACATTATTGTCTTCACCTTACACATTTTCAGGAGAAACTGCAAGTAGAAGCAAACGACATCCCTGTTGAAGTCACAGCGTCAACCAACAACCTATTCTCTTTCCAAAAGAAGTACAAACATGTTGGATCCTAGCTACATAACCGTCATCTTGCTGGGTGTCTCCCTAGCTCTGTGCTTATACCTCATCCACTTATTTCGAACGTCCTTCCAGTACTGGAAAAAAAGAAACGTCCCCTACCTCACTCCCACCATTCCCTTCGGCAACGCCTTGGACCTGTTTCTCGGCAAAACGACCTTTGGAGAAGTCTTCGGAAACGCTTATCTGGAGTTCAAAAAGCAAGGACTCAAGCACGGCGGCATCTACTACCTACAGACACCCGTATACATACCAGTCGATCCTAATATAGTCAAAAAAATACTCATCACCGACGCTTACAACTTCCCTAATCACGGGATGTACGTGAACCAGAAGGACGACCCCTTGTCCAACCACATCTTCAACATGGAGGGAGGCTATTGGAGGTCACTGAGGAGCAAAATGCCTGCCAATTTCACCTCTGCCAAGATGCGGCGCATGTACAACATCATGCTCGAGCTGGCAGAGCCGTACAAGCAACTGCTCGAGCAGAATGCTCAGGTAGGAGAACCTATGGACATCAAAACCCTGGTTGCTCGCTTCACCACAGACATCGTCTCAGCTTGCGCCTTCGGGATGGAAAGCAAGACCATGGAAAATGAAAACCAAGACCTTCTGAAGCACGGCAGACTGTTCTTCGACTACCAGTGGAGCAGATGGAAGAACACCTTGGTGGTAACTGTCCCAAGAGACATCCTGGCCAAGCTCGGGTTCCGGATATTCAGAAAGGAGACGCAGAAGTACGTTATCGATATGTACACGAACATCATGGAACACAGAAAGAAGGAGGGGGTGACGAGGAACGACCTTACAGATAGCCTTATAAAGCTGACGGAGAGGCGAGATGAAGAACTAGATTTCGATGGGAAAACGGTCCTGGAGCCTCTGGATATTCCGAATTTCGCTTCGCAGATGTTCGTGTTCTTCGCTGCCGGCTTCGAAACATCATCCAGCACGCAAACGTTCGCTCTATACGAGCTGGCAAAGAACAAGCATTGTCAGGATATGCTCAGGAAGGAGATTAACGATGTGCTGAGAAGACATGGGAATGAGTTGACTTACGATGCCATTATGGACATGAAGTATCTGGAGAACGTTATAGATGGTGAGTGGATCATAATAGTATACAATGAGTATCAATAATTTCAAATGACATCAAACGAACATTTATAATTGGATCGAAATGAATTTGATTTGATTTTTTATTGGTCAAACAATTGTTAATAAAAATTGTACATGGTACGATCACAAAACAAAATAAATACATAGATGGATAGTCACTCAGTAGAGCTGAAGTCAGGCGCATAATAGTAAGCATTCTCTGTGAGGTGTTTTTTTCAGTTTCCTTGTTGAATTAGTGATGGTTGCATTTTTCATTGATTGGAGCAGTGAATTGTACAATGATATACAGTGTGTCCCACTTACCATGCTCACCATGGGTATCTTTTTAACGGTGAGAGATACGAGGTCGGTTAAATGACACCAAATGTGGAGTTTGTCAAGGCCAACAATAATGTGAAAGAATATTTTGATAAAATCTATTCGTATTTTTTGTTTTATACGCAAAAAACAGATTTTGATCATTTTCATGTCTCCTCCATAACTTCTTCTAAAAATATGAAATTTATACCAACTCTTCTAGAATTTGAGATATCAGCACCAACTTTGGTTTTTCAAATGTAGGTCATAGCTCACTATGACTTATTTACGAATATTTTTTTTCTCTTTCAGATGATATGTCGCAGTAATAGTTTTGTGTTGATAACAACGGAGTTATCGTCATTTATACAAAAAAAATATTATTTGGAAACCGCCATCTTGAATTTATAAATTTTAACAAAAAAATCATGATCTCTGACCTCAAAAACCCCCACTTACCAATTTTAAATGGAATCGGAGCGAATCTTGTCCGCCATCAATTGAAAAAAATGGCTGCTCCAAGATGGCACAAACTCCACATTTGGTGTCAATTAACCGACCTCGTATCTCTCACCGTTAAAAAGATACCCATGGTGAGCATGGTAAGTGGGACACACTGTATATGATTTACATCTCCTCGTCATTTCTAGTCATTGGTTTGGTGTTCTAATATTATCCTTGTTCCTAGTATTATATGTAGTGAACTTCGTAAATTTTCTTGAAAGTGTATAAAACTGCAGTATATTAAACATGATAGCAGAGTTAATATATTGAATCAACTCTTACAGCTTCATTTCAACTATTCCAGCTAGAGCTCTGATTGCTCTTTTTTGAGTTATAAAAATTCTCGAAATATGAATAGATGTGCCCCAGTTTATCAATCCATATGTCAACGAACTATGAAACATTGCATCTGCCTGATTGCATAGACCTTGCATGATAGATTTTTTGCTAATGGTCAATATAGGGTTTCTAAAGTGACTTTGAATCAATAGTTATACCAAGACATTTCACATTATTTGAGGGATTATGAGATAGCGAGAAAATAACTGTTTGGGTCTTGCTTGTCACATTGAAAAGAGAAAGATAGTGGCTTTATTCACACTGTCGAAATTATTTCAACGTCTGTCAAGTACGTGAATATTCATCGAAATCAATATTGATTGAACAGCTCATTTGTAAAATGTGGAATACTGTTTTGTGGTTGATAACAAAAATTTTTTTTGATAAAATGACGTGTCTTCAGTACTATTTAATGAAAGAAGCGCTAACTTGAAGAACAAAAAACTTAAGTTCAGTTCCATTCAAGCCACAAATTCAGCTCATGCGACGTCCTCTGGAAAATATATCTGAGTATAGATATTCGCGCCGTAGTCAAGGTCATCATCTGACATTCCTATGTTTGGAGAGTTGTGATATATTAGCAACATTGGATAATCGCAATAGACTTACATGAAATCCACAATATTCGATTTTAATTTTTGTTCCAGAAACCCTAAGGCTATATCCCGTATTCCCTATTCTGCCAAGGATATGTAAAGAGGACTATCCTATACCAGGAACTGATGTCGTTCTGGAGAAAAACACTTTCGTGATGGTGACCAACATGGGCATCCAGAGAGATCCAGAATACTATCCGAATCCAGAACAATTCAATCCAGATAATTTCAATGTGGAAAATAAAGGGACTAGACCACACGTAGCTAACATTCCTTTTGGAGAAGGACCAAGGATATGTGTTGGTAAGTAACGAATAAAAAAAAACTAGGTCACCACCCAATTATACCAAAGTAATTATCATAAGTTGATATGATAATTTGTTTTTTTTAGGAAAACGATTTGGTCTTCTTCAAACAAAGCTAGGCTTAGTAACACTGATCAAGAATTTCGAAGTAAGTTTGAATAAAAAAACCACTGAAGGATTTCAATTCGAAGCAGACCAGCTGATCCTCAGAAAAAAAGGTGATGTGTGGCTAGACATAAAGAAAATTGAATAATATAAATTCTCGAGTATGGATGTCAACCGAAAATATATCAACATTTAGAATGCAGTAATGATGAAAAATCGAGAAATAACAAGACTGTTTCATTGCATTCTTTAATGAACCAAAGAAATTGTATCATTTCTTTTATACTCACTAATTTAGTTTATAAATAAAAACGTAATGAAACATTATTACCGAGATTATTACTCTATATATACCAATCCAATCTATCTCGCAATCTATAAACCAAAATTGAAATGATTGTTCTTATTTTTCTCAAATTGATTCCGAAAAGAAAATCCTGAAACATGTGAGAAATTTTTAAAAAAATATTTGTTGGTGCAGAATTCCATAGTTGCTAGAAATGGAACGCTGCTGTTGAAAAAACTTTGATTCCTAATGAATAAAGGTTGAATCAAAGGAGAAATGTTTCACATGTATACAAGTCTATCATCAGCCTAAGTGAAACAATAAATTCTGCAACGAATAAGAACACTGTAAGTAGGTACTGAATATCCACCGACAGCAGCTTACATAGAGAAGAAAAAATATATTCAAGAGATGGAGAAAATCCATAAGGACCGCACTTTCGAATTTAATCAATTGGTTGTACAAAACTACCTGAAATAATTATAAATTCGAAATGACATATGTGAGAATGAAATTCTCAAAATCAAAGAACGGGTTGGTGAGATTGTTGCTTTTCTTTTTGATCATGTGGAGACATGTGCGTTACAGTAAAATGAAACAGAAAAAGACGTTCCGAGGAAAGATCACGTGTACGGCGATGTATGTGCGAAATCGGAAAATGTTTATATCTGGAAAGAACGCGATACGATTGAAAAGCCAGCACAAAACAAGATTTATATCGTGCTTTCGCAGGAGTTCTTTTCAACGGCGAACAAACCGCGGTACACTTTACGCACGTAAATGGAAATTAATCCATTTGATTTACGATCTTTGTTGTATGGGTCGCCTCCAACTTCATTCAGTACAATCATCGTTGTGGACCGTGAAACCTCGAAAAGTTCAGAAAAATTCCAACACCTAGCTCCTCTCCCTATCCTCCATAGGTTCGCACGATGAATAGTATAGGAATGTCTTTTCGTGTGCAATCAATTTTGATATTCTTCAACATAAAACGCAAAAAAAAAATTGAAAATGAATTACCAACATTTCTGAATAAATAAATCATGTATACAATTGTATAATCTCATAAGAAATCATACCAAAAGAACTTGATGATTGATTGAATAGAATAGATCATCACATAGCAGTTATCTCTCGACTCGAGGTATTATACCGAGGAAGACGATAAAACAATGAGAATGGAGAACAACAAAACAGTTGAAAAAGAATATGTTCAGATTTATGATGAATATGAAAGAACGGATATATATATATATATATACAGCAAAAACATTGAATATATCCACTATTTATCGGTATTTTCAATAAAGAACAGCTACTTTTCTGGCTGTATGCCACGACGAACATTGAATTAAATCTATTGAACACACCCGATGAGAATCTAGAAATGAAATCTTCTGAAGTTGAAAATTTGCATTCTCCTTCAGATAAAAATATTCATGCGAATGATATCATTCTGAATATTCAACAGAAAACGACTACTTTCCTGGCTATATGCCACGTCGAACATATCTGTTGTACATACATCCAAGAAGAGAACATGAAAATAAAAATCCTTCGAAATTGAGAATTAACATTCTATTTCAAATCTGATAAATAATATGATTTCTAATGATATATAAAAAAATTACTTACAAATATATTCAGTATTGAAATGAAAATTGAAATGTTTAATGTAATAAGTATACTTGTATGAACTCTGATCATGATGGGCTTGAAAGTTCCAAAAATCATTCATATCAGAGGTATGGGAATATTATCTCTTATTCAAACAAGTTATATTTCAGGTATCAAACTCTCCTCAGTAACCTAAAGTCCAGTTATTCTTTCAGCAATTCTTCCTGAAATACAAATTTTCATCTCTCTATAATATAACTAAAACTATAACGAACTGACATCTGAGAATTATTTGTTGACAGTCGATTCCTGTCACAATTTCAGAGGATTTTTATTTTTATGTCCTGTTTCTGGATGTTCAACATATATAATTCAATATTCGACGTGGCAAATAGCCAGGAAAGTAGTTGTTTTCTGTTGAATATTCAGAATGATATCATGTGCATGTACATTTTTATTTGAAAACTTCAGAAGATTTTGTTTTCAGATTCTTATCGTGTGTATTCAATAGATATAATTAAATGTTCGTCGTGGCATATAGCCAGGAAAATAGTTGTTTTCTGTTGAATATTTGAGAAAATTCCATTTCAATACTTTCACACCCAATCGAGGGGTTCAAACTTGGACGATTGAAAACTTGTTATTTTTATAGACCTCTAATCGCAGATTTGCGATTGAGTTTTCTCAATTCAGAATTTTCTTTTTATGCCATGTACGAAGAATATCATTTGTCATACATTACATCCAAAAAAAATTAATAAACACGATAATACGAATCTGAAAACGAAATGTTGGTAAGTAGGAAGTTCCAGGATGATATAAAGCCTTAGTATAGGGAATTTCAGAATCTTCCGAAATCACATCAGAAAGTGAATTGTCTCCAATGAAACAACAGAAAGTGACATTAAGTGAAACGACGTACCTACAGTAAAACATCCCGAAAGTGGCGATTCTGTTGTAAGTAAATACAAGAAGTGGCACATGAATATTTCTCTAAACTGCGGAAAACATAATCTACAAACATCAGGAATAGAAAAATGAAAATGGAATAGTCATCAAAATTATCATTTTCCTATCAATTTCTCGACATTATTAACAGTTTTGAAAGTATAAAGGATGTTTGACTGAATCTGTATAGATTGCATCATTGAGATTTTCCATGAGAATAATATGAAATAAAATATGTTCGATAAACCTAGAATCTCAAGACTAAGAGTTTCTAGGGAAATTTCGTGAATCGATTGTCAGCTGATGCAAGACAGACTGTTTCGACTTGCCATAAGTCTCATCAGTGGCACTGGCCAGCTGACAATCGATTCACGAAGGGTACCTCCATATATCGAACAAGTCGAAGCCCTGAGGGGGCAGAAGGACGATCTAGCCTTCATAGCCATCTAGTGGCTCAAGTGCAAGGTGTATAGGTAGATTCATCAATCATACCTTGCGACTACGTCGTGCATATAGACCCCTACGTCTATATGCGCGACTAAGTCGTGCATATAGACCCCTACGTCTATATGCTTACAGAAAAGACATCCATGTCAGATTCTGTAGACTATCGCAACACCTGTAATTCTCAAAGTGGTTTAATGTTCCACTAACAGATGGTGATAAACCTAGAATCTCAAGACCTGTCAAGACTAAGAGTTTCTAGGGAAATTTCGTGAATCGATTGTCAGCTGATGCAAGACAGACTGTTTCGACTTGCCATAAGTCTCATCAGTTGCACTGGCCAGCTGACAATCGATTCACGAAGGGTACCTCCATATATCGAACAAGTCGAAGCCCTGAGGGGGCAGAAGGACGATCTAGCTTTCATAGCCATCTAGTGGCTTAAGTGCAAGGTGTATAGGTAGATTCATCAATCATACCTTGCGACTAAGTCGTGCATATAGACCCCTACGTCTATATGCTTACAGAAAAGACATCCATGTCAGATTCTGTAGACTATCGCAACACCTGAATGTCAGCTGGCCAGTGCAACTGATGAGATCTGACATGGATGTCTTTTCTGTAAGCATATAGACGTAGGGGTCTATATGCACGACTTAGTCGCAAGGTATGATTGATGAATCTACCTATACACCTTGCACTTAAGCCACTAGATGGCTATGAAGGCTAGATCGTCCTTCTGCCCCCTCAGGGCTTCGACTTGTAAAATATGTTCCCTTGAAGATCACAACAACATCCATCAAATTCTAAGATTTCAATCATCTCATGTAAATACTCTCGTATTTTCTTATTCGTAGCCCGAGTTCAAATTTACTTTCTCCCATGATGCAATATTCAATAGGTATGATCTACATTCTTGAGTATTTCTTTCTCTTCTTGTGCAGTATTACACGGCCAACTATGGTCGATTATAAATGCCAATAAATATCAGGTATATTAGGTTCATACATTATTGCTCGCATTATTGTATTGTATGTTGTATTGACTTGCTACAAATGTATGTATTTGCATAACGTAGTCAAATAAACGCTATCTATCTATCTATCTATAATAACGCTGATAGAGTAGGCCCTGATAAAAGGCCACGGATAAATTATCGTTCGTGAATGGCCATGGATCCAAACTGACATGTTACCCCTGATGTATCAATGTGTGAGCGGAGCAGAGGTGCCCACGAACGATGCCCGCTCTCCTGATTGACGTGCACAGCTGCCAACTGCCGCTCAGGGCTCAGAGCCCAGAGGGTGGGGCTCTCTGAGTATTTCCTGACCGCAGACTTTACGACACGCTGTTCGCACTGTCCCTAAACGTATTATTCGAGGTTCACGATAAATCAGGACACTCCAGACAAATGTCGAGTGCTCGGTCGAGTGGGTATTTGTTCGTCCTCTGCAGAGATGCGTGATAATTGCTACATATCCAGAATGTACAACAAGATGATGGAGCCTACAAGAAAACTCTGATATCCATCGAAACAGGGATGACGATATTATCAAAGTAGTCATTTTTGTATCTAGTGCGCGAAATGCTACTTTGGTGATCGAGCACTGATTTTAGTCGAGATGACCTTCTACAAACGTCAAATAATATAGTTGGTTCCAAAGTAGTGATATGCTCAGCTATTATTATAAAAAATAGTATTGTACTGGCTTAAAATGCATTAATTATTGTTCAACATAAATAAGTTCATGGATGTTTGCTCTCGATTGAGGACCATCAAGGTTGAATACAAAAATTTCATATATTATTATGTTTTAATTGGAAACGTAGAAAACTGAAAAAGTTGTCACTTCACATATTGTTATCAATGTGCAAAACCTTGTTATTTTTTGACGATTGTAAAAATAATCCGTTCAGCTGGAATCGTCGATAAAAATATTGCAAAATAACGGAAGTATTCATGAATTCAATGAACTTTTCATAAAGTTGTTATTACGGATCTGGTGTCTCGTCCAAGATCATGGGTCACTT